TTTACTTGTTTGTCTAGACTTTTTTTTTTTTTTTTTTTAAACTGTTTTGAAATCATTATCTTTTGGTTGTTTTGCACAGCCACTCAAAAGTGTCTGAACATCTGTGCAAGAAATGGATGCTTTTGTATTCAATTACCATTATTTCTGTTAGTCTAGTTGCTTGGAGTTCTACCTCACGGTCATCAAACGTATTTCTACATAAACCCAGTGGATTGATGTTGTGTGGATGGCTTAATCCTGAATGTATTCTGGTCAGAGATAATGCTTTTATATTAACATGGCTTTTCAGGTAAAGTGAGATTTGTAGATGTGATTTTATTCATCTATTGCAACTGAGGTAGAAGGGATTTTGTTTTTCTCAAATGTTTGGGAGCCCACTTGTGTGCTAAGGAGGCTGCAGCAGAACAGTGTCAACATAAATGCAGAGTGCAGCAGGTTTGTTCTTTCTGTCTGTCTAATCTGTATAGCAGATAATTTTCTTATATACAGACCCTGGGAGAGGCAGCCAGCATGTGGTAATAGTACCATTTTTATTCAAGGGTGTGCGGCAGAACTTTCTTGCATGCGGCACAATCTTTCTTTTCCTTCTGTGAAATCTGCTAGAGGACAGCAATGGGTTTTTTTTGGGGGGTAGCAGCAAGGGTGTTAACATTATCCAGCTCCTCCTTTGTGGAAACAAGAGCTTGTTGCAAACGACAATAGTGCCTGAATGTTTTATGCACCACTGCAGCTTCAGGGATTCTGTTGCAATCTTTCAGCTCCTTTGTACTCTGGCTTTTGTTCTTGGATTCTGTGTGTTGTTGAGTGTATTTCTGTGTGAGTATGAATGGTACGGATTCCTGGGTTTTATGATCATATTACATAAAAAGGATTTGTATGATAATTGTGCTGCTGGGAAATATTAATTATACATTCAGCCTTTTCTGCGTCTTGGGGGAGTCAATGTAGGTGAGGTGAAACGAGCCGGGTCTGCTGCTGTGCCATGTATTAAAGCGATCCCTATTCCTTCAGCACTCTCTGAGCCATCATGCTTTAAAGAGCAGGTTTCATTACTTGTTCTGAGGTGCTAAGCAAGCATGACACAGCTTAGTAGATGTCAGGTGTTGTTGAACAATGAGATGTTCAGACTGTTAGAGCTGCTGATATGTCGTGAATCAAAAACTACAGTTTAAAATAGACCTGAGAAAGTGACACTTAATCTAATTCTCAGTTTCTGCTCTTTCTGACTGAGTCTGCACTGATCGGCTGTAATCTCCTGTTGTTCTGTTTTTCTTATTTTTGCTCAAGCACTGTGTTTCTCTCATTCCCTGTTGGTCAATTGCTTCTTGTGACCCGTGTGTGTGCGCGGGCGGAGTGAGTACTGTTCTCTGTGGGAGACCGTCCTGAATCACACAGGCTTTCTGTCTTGCATGACTAGGTATTTGATTTCACTCTGGCTCATCAGTGAACGCCATCCTCAGCTCATTTTGTTTCATATCATGTCAGCTGCTGCCGAATGCATTTTGAGAAATGTGCATCGAAGTTGTAGCAGTGCAGACATTTTGGACAATGCCAGAGCATAGGTCTGCGTTAGTTTAAGTCAAAAATGTTGCTGTTCATTTTAGGTAAGGAAATGTTGAGGTTTAGTTTAGAACATAGTGAAACAATAGGTCTGGGCAGTGACACGTTTGTTTTTTTTGGCTCTTTACTCCAGCCAATGGGTTTGAGGTGAACAGAAGAACTGACATCAGCATTTTATCAAAAGTCTTTCCATTATTTCTACAATGTAAAAACAACAAGGCTACAATACTACACTATTTACCCATTGTGGGTGTACATAAATCAAAGTAAAGTCAAACTAACTTAGTTTTAATGTCATTGTTCATTTCAAATCTACGAGAAAAAACATTTGTGTAATGTTCAATACTTTCATATTTAGCCCACGGCTGTATTAGAATGTGATACTGAAGTTCCCAGGTGACTCATTGGGGTTTGACAGTGCTCAGTTGCTCTGGTATTTTGTCCTGTCAAGCTACATATCACTTTTCCATTCTCATCGTCATTGAACGAAAAGGATCTGATTTCATTGCTTTTTTTTGTGGGTGTTTGATCCATCAGCAGTTTACCCCTGACACACATCTGTTATTGGTATTGATTTATAAACATGTTTTAGTGGGTCTGTTGCTGGGGTTACTAATGCACTGTGGGGTTTCCTCCATAAAAGAATAGATCTTTGTTTGTTTGATGATGATACATCTTCTGCTTCAGACTTGATTGGCTTGTTAGGGTCTTATGATGGTATGACACTTATACGATCCTAAATTTGTGGAATAAGTTGGAAAGTTGGAAGTGAATTAAACACATGGTTTAAAGCTCCCTCTTTTCACTTGACTAAACGACATGTTTACACAGCAGTTTTCATTATACTGTTTTGCAGATATTTCAGGAGGGACGTATGATATGGATATTATTTAGTTAATTGTGTAATATAGTGTAAGAAGAAGTAAACTATATTTTGACATGAATCAGTCATGATGGACAAACAGTGGTAATTAAACATTACTACTTTATTCTTTGCACTTGTAAGGTTTTGAAGTAGATCACTATTTTGGCAGGGAAAAACAATATAGGGAAGAAACAACAGAAAATAAATGACTAAATAACAGTGAGACTGTACAAAAATGTGCTGACTGCTCCTTCACTCGAGCTCAGCTGGATGTGTGAATCAGATTTGCCTGACTAAAATGCAAACAACTGCCAATAATTGCCTGTTTGTTTTTTCTGTGTTGTATGCTGCAGTTTCTTTCCTGGCTCTATCAGCTAAGAAATATATATACTGTCTATATTTTGCTGAAGCTTTTTCTTTTTTTAAGCAGTTTGAAGATATAAATGAATTATTCTCTTTTCGATGGCCAGAAACAGCACAATGTTACATTGGTTTTGCTGGATGACTGTCCTCCCTCTCTTTTCTTCCTCAGTTAAATGTTGCTGTAAATTTGTCCTCACTGTGCTGACAGCTGTCGACTCAGTAAACAAGAGAGTAAAGTTTTCCATTCATCAACCTATTTGTCAGCTTTTTCCATGCACTGAAAGAAGTTTTCAAATCTGTCCTCTCTCCCTTCCTCTTTATCTCTCTCTTTGATAGGCGAGCCATACGGGAATGCGCTCCTACATTTACAATAAGAATCTGTGATTGGCTCACAGGCAGAACACTGCGGGATGCGGACATATTTCTTAGTGCGGACACACAGGAGGACATGAAGGCTGGATCCGGGCATGAACCAGGCTGCGCTGATGCAGCAGAGTCACACTATAAAGAGGTTGGTCTCTGCTATCCAGAGTAACATTCACCTCTCTTATTGGTTGGACTTCTAATAATCCCAACATCTGGCCTTCAAGCTAGAGCAGCAGACTCTGACTGGATAGTCTTTAGATACTGTCATTAAAGAACCAAGGTTCTGTAGAATTAAAACAAATTAAACAGTTTTATTATCATTTTTTTCTAGAAGTGTACTCACTGTATTTTGTGTGTATCAACTACAGTGCTGAACTGCAAGTGTAAATTGTTCAACATCAATTTCATCACTCAAAGTTGGTAATTTTTTTGCTGCTATTTTTTAACAGCATGAATTGTCTTCCACAGCAGGTCCAACCCTGCCCGTCTGCTCAGGAACATTAGGATGTGTGCAGTTTTTTTTTCTGTGTGTGTGTGTGTGTGTTGTGTGTGTGTGTGTGTGTTTGTGTGTGTGTGTTGGGGTTTGTGTACAGTAATGAGTCTTATTCAATCCTATTAATTGTTAAGCCCTAGCCACATGCAAGAGACTGCAGCAGTTCTGAAAGCAAAATGTTTAATTAAAAAAAAATCTTCACAATATTTACAATAGCTAACAGAAATATTCTGCATAACAGTCTATAATCTGATCTCTATAATACAGTCTAATACTCTAATACTGTATCTGTACATCGCAACCTGCAAGCCACCGATTGGTTGACTGAACAGCAGTGTTTGACTAGTCTGTGCAATTATGCCACCTAGAGGCCTACTTGAGTCAATAGAGGTGGTTTTAGTGATTTCATTGAGTCAGTGAAATGTTTTGCTCTAATGACATTATTATGAAGATAACACTAATGTTCAACTTCTGAGTTCTGTGTGAGGCAGTCCTACTGTTCCTGACGTCATATTTCCACCAGACATAAATTCATTTAAGATTATGAAGTGTGTAAAATGATCAATGAGGCTTTGAATTAGGCTTTGACAATTAGACTATCATTTCATATTCCCTGAGTTGGAAAATAATTAATGGATTTAAATGTGGCACCTTATGAATTTCAAATCTTATCAAGGTAACACATTGATCAGCGAGGCTCCCTGATTATGACAAAGCATCTGTCATTTTGTTCTATGAGTAGTTGTTCCACAGGCTCTCCTCTATTTCTTTTCACTCACTTGAAAAAAGTGGAAATAAATAAAGTCAAAAGGGTGTTAAGTTATTGAAAAACTCCAACGAAGAGAAAGAGAAACCAAGGAATGAATTTGTACCATATGTACCAGTGTTTTAGAAAATGTAATTACTTTTTAGGAAAAGACGCTTCCAGTTTATTTGAACATCCATTATCATGTTTTTTTAATCCATCCCACATGCCGTGTAATCGCTTATTTTAGAATTGCTGCACTTCATCATAATATACAGGGAGAGGGGACATTAGATGAACGCTAAATAACTGTGTGAGTGCAGTTGGGTGTAAGACTTGAAAAATTGAGTCTTTAACACTACATGATATGTACATTTTTACAGGCAGAATTTTGATGATACAATTAATCATCTTGTGTTCAGAGCAGTACAGCATGCCGTCCCACAGACAAACCACGACATCAGCCAGCACTCATCTCATCCTGAAAGCCATCGCAGGACAGACAAAGAGGAACCTCGCGATAATGGTGTCCATCCATCTCATGGGGACGAGGTGAGGTACGGAATTGAGATCCAGGGCAGGCCCAGCCATTTGGCCTCCGAGGAAAGAGCAGAGAGACTCTCTCCAGACTCTCTTGATGGTGTCCTCCACAAGAGCGGACAGCAAACTGTGATCCAGGTGGCCCTGCCGCCTCAACAGAATGGAAATCTTGTCTATCAGAAGGGGTTTGTTTTGCAAGAAGACTCGGAAAAACATGTGCAGAGGAAGAATACGCTGGCTCAGGTGGAGCAGTGGGTTAAAGTCCAGAAAGGAGACCCACCGAAGAGGTCAGTTGGAGTAAAAACAGTCAGTATGAAACAACAACATCAGATTAAATAACCTTTGAGTAAACACCTCCCTCTAGTGGCTCATGTTAGGACTAGCAGTTTATTTAAATTGTTTAATGGTTATTTCTAATTTATTATCTTTTGTGTAGAGAGGTCCTTATGTGTTTTTCTGTCTCAGTGCTCCCTCTGCTGAGTTCAACCTCCCTCGGCGGACTCCTCCTTTAAAGCCCAAAGCCAGCACAGCAGATGCAACCTATCATTCATTGCCAAAGTCTCCCCGTCTCCCATCCGGCAGCAGCTCTCCTCCTGCAACATTCAACTTGCCCAGTGACTACAAGTACGCCCATGATCGGCTCAGCCACTTCCGCATGTCCACTGATGAGCGTATGGCCACCAAGGAGGGGATGGTGTGGCAGCTGTATGAGTGGCAGCAGCGGCAGCAGTTCCGTCACGGCAGCCCCACCGCTCCTATTTACACCGGCCCCAATTTCACAGACGCTTCATCTTTTAGAGTAACTGTGGAGATGCCACGTTCCATCTCCGTCCCTCCGTCCCCGTGCGAGGTCCCACCGTCACTACCGTCCTTCAAACCCCTGTCCCCTCGCAGGCCACACACTCCCTCAGACAGGCGTACAGTCCGGCCGCTGGATGAAGTGTTACCTGGGGACAGCACAAGATCCAGCTCCCCTGGCCATTTTTGTGCCCAACTATCTCAGGTAGGAAACATACTCAGGGATATTTTAAGAACCGTAGGTACATTTCATAAACGATGCCTCTCTTAAAATCGAACAACGACAACAACTTTACCATAAAATATAAAGCAGTATTCCAATTGAAACTTTGAAATGGAGAGTATTAAACGTAGCTGTACATGTAAATACTTTCACTTAAACTGCTTCAATTATACCCAATCTTACATACACAGAGGAATGTTACACTAATAACAACCCGTTTAAATCAATTCCTTTTGTGTTTCATGTCAGCTGAGATGTTAATTTAGTTGGAATCATTATCTATTATAGCTTGATTACAAAACATAAAGCAAAGTCCAGAAATGACTTGTCTATATGTGCAATAAGAGAACAATAAGGAGAAAGGCTTGGGGTATTATTTAACTGTAGGACTAATGTCATAAATGCAGCTACCCAGTTTCATGGATTATAGGGATGACTTGAAGCGTAGCTAGAGGGCCAACGAATCGACGATGATGCAGGCAATAAATTAGAAATGAAAATGTTACTATTTGAAAGACCCGTTTTTGTTTATAACACCAAACAGTCTATTTATTCATATTTTCAGGATTATTTGGTGGTATTATTGTTACATCACATCACACAGGATAAAAGGATACACAAAAGGAATATAAGTCCCACCCCTTGATGACTTTATGTTCAGTTAGTCAGTCACTGGTGCTGTAACACTGTCATTCAGAAACACAGTAAAAGTCAGAAGCGTGTCATTGCCATGAGATCGAGGTTAAATAGATCATTCACTTGTAGTGAACCAAAGACAAAGGTCTCATTCTCACGGTAGCTTTGCCCGTAGGATATGGGGTAGGCTATCTATTGATGTTAACTTGAGGGATGTTGTTAGCTCACAAGGACACCATGGGAAGATTAGCATGAGGAGTATGAGAAAGCTCAGACTTCTCAGCGCACACACATTTTTTTATAGTCATGTGAATCACTTACAGATTCACACAGTCCACACCCAGGATCGCTCCCCAGGTGGGGTAACCATGTGTCAGCGAAAGCTTGCTTCTCCGGCGTTCCCCAAACCATGGTAGCGCTCAGACAACACCACCACTGCCGCAGGAGACAGAGCGAGGGGCCGTCCTGTCATCCACACCCTGCGCTGTCTGCCAACCACACCCTCCACATGTGAACCACTCTCCCTCCATACCATCGCCACATTGGCCAACACACACAAGCCTCAAAACCAATCCTTTGACCTTACAGAAGTTAACAAAGTGTTGCTGTAGCTCTGTTTCCTCCATCAGTCACCCCAGTGTCAAGACACTAATTATAATCATTAAAAGAATGAGTCACAATTATGTTTTAACTGTTTCAAGGAGCCAAAGTAACTGTGTTCAAGAGAGGGGATGTTTATGGGAACTAAAGTCAATCTGGGGTGTACTTAGTTTTGGTGCACCCAGCATCTCTGAGGCTCTCTCTCCGACTGGAGCGCGCTTAAGTAAAAGCGATGTGTATACCTCTGTGGAATATCATTAAGAAGTATGTTTTATTAGCAGCTAATCCAATTTGCCAGGGCTCCTCAGCACCCTATAAACATCTCGACTCTATCTCAAACATCAGCAGCGGTCTCTTTCTTCTGATCTCGCATTTAAATAAAAAACCTATTATACAGCAAAAAAAATAGTGGCATGGGAATCTCAGAGGGAATGGCTTACAGTGCTTCTCTTGCTGGTAGCAAACAAATGTTATTTTAAGAAAGCAGGTTCAGTATAATTTATGTGTAGTTAATTAAATCTCTTGTTGTTTGTGTCCTTTTAAGGTTCTGTAGTGGGCCTGGTTTTTTACTAATTCTGTGTGTTAAGCAAAAACGTCAAATTTTCTAAGCCCGGCAGCGTCTGAAACTCGGGGCACACCTTGTTTCAAGTGAGAGAAGGAGCGATGAAAGGGAGAAAGGGATAGATGAAAAATAAATATGCTGTGTAGTCAAATTTGTTAGCAGACTTGGAGGCAATGTTTCAACTTTGTACCAGTGCAATAGAGTGGTCTATCTATTGAAGAGCACTTGGTGAATTAGACATTCTGTTTGATTTGACTTTATTAGAGCTGTGATAACAAGCTGATGAATTTGTTTCTTTGCAGACTTCCCAAATTGAGAGAAGGTCTATGCCAGCCATGGGCTACATCACACACACTGTCAGTGCACCCAGCTTGCATGGAAAAACGGTACGTCCCTCTTACTTACAGTCTCTACACAATTCGGTATCCTGTTAGTGTTCTTTTTTTACCCTTGGTATCAACTACTCTTTGTAAGAATGGACAGAAATAACTCGATCCAACATTTGATTCATGTCCTCTCTGTGACAGTTTCAAGAATTTAAATCTTGACCCAAATGAGGCAACTGACTTTTTGAAACCAAAAAAAAAAAAACTGTTGACATTTGTATTCCATTGATATTTTATAAGTGTTATTAGTTGTGAGCACAATAAATAATCTTCCCAGTCTCCCTTATGCAGCTCAAGTTTTAACATCTTAAGCTCTTACTATACTTGGACATTTATGAAGGAATGGCATACTGGCCTCTCATCCTAATAGCTTTCTCAGTTCCTGTTCTGCCCATATGGTTCTTAAGTATTTTCTCTCATCCCTCTGCGCTTTCTGCCCCTAAACCTCGGGCTTGGCTACAGCCGGAAGAGCTGACTCTGCTCCTCATTCAGCTTCGGAGGCACCAGGCCAAGATGGCTGGTGTGCATAGCCCCAGTGATGCGTTCGCTCACCTGCAGCGACACCAGCACAACGGCATTCTGGGCCCCGTCATGCAGGTCAGGGGCATTTGTACCTCCCTAACCTCCTTTGCAGCACTCTGCAACCCCTGCCAGTGCATAATGGTCCCGCTCTCCCCAGCCAATCCCTTACATTTAATCCATGTCATTCATAGTAGTGTGCCGTCTATGAGTTTGGCTTGGTTGTTTCGTTTATTCAACCATTTGGCATGGTCTGTATTGCACTTCAGACTGTCCAGATTGCCTTATAGCTAAGCGTTAGTGTCTTGCATTGTCAGTGTCACTCATCCAACTTGTTAAAAACTTGAAAGAGCTTCCAAAAACTGGTTAATTTTGTTTATCAAAAGTAACATACCATTTTTGGAGCATGTTGATTGTAGACTGTGCTTGCATTTTATTCTTACCTTTGATCGATGTTTAACCTTGCACATAAACACTCAGTTTGACCACACTTCAGGTACAGGACATGTGTTATTCAGGTTGTTTATGAGGTCGGACATGAGATATTGAACAAGTTACGCACTTAAAGGTCACATATTATTCAAAATACACAACAATATATTTCCCTAGCCTGTCTACAAACCCCTTCAATTATTCAATTCAATTCAATTCAATTCAATTCAAAAAACTTCATTTGTCCCCGGGGGGCAATTCAAAGGCACACAGAGCAGTAAATTAACAACAGTGCAAGTAAAAATACAACTTTGAATTATGAGAAAAGTACATCTTGTTCGTCTTTTGCCTGCTCCACTTTTCAGAAAATGTATGCTCAAACAGGCTGTCTGGAGATTTTCCATTTGCGACATCACAAAGGGTAGTAACCCCTCCTCCAGGTGGGTGACACTCCCACAACTAGGTGTTTGTTCTGCCCTCTGAGTACGTCTTCTCCTGTAAATAATTGGGCATGGTGCAAGAAAGCCCAAGCCACCCAAGCCCTTCCAGAGAGGGGGTGTCAAACACAGCTCATTTGCATTTAAAGCTACAGACACAGAAACAGCCTGTTCTGAGCAGGGCTGAAATACAGGGGTTTATAGGCATGATAAAAAAACACAGTTGAATTTTGGCAAGAAACTTCACCGACATGTTTTAGCTCTGAGACTTGAAATAATATGTGATCTTTAAATGATTACTAAATTAAAGTTTGGATTTACTAACCATAAATAAAAACACAAAGGTAGAAGAAAACTGATATGATACCAGGCTAATTAAAAATGTCATCAAGCTTGGGAAGCAACAGATAAAGGCCTAGTGTCATCTGGTCACCCATTATCTTTGTAGCTTCCATTCAAATGATTTGTCTCTCCACTGCTCATTTAAAGGCTGATGATACATACATACAACTGAAGAAGGACCTGGAGTATCTAGATCTGAAGGTGGGCCCCAAAGAAATACATCACTTTTTTACCATTTTCTTCTCTCCATCTTCCTCCTGTGATCTACTTCTTCTGCTGCTGTCTCCATGTTTCCCCTTTTCCCTGTCCTTTCGATGTTCTGTGCTTGCTTTCTACTGTCTCTTTATGATGGAATCATGTCGTTCAAACGTCTTCTTACTATAAAAGTTATTTATTTTATAAGAGGAAGCATTTTATGCATTGATACAGGAGTATGATAAATCTAACAAAAACAAGTTGACAGAAGATAAAATTGTATTTGGCTTTCTTCTTGTACGATAGCACTGTGCATAAAGATGCCGAAGGCTAATGCTGTTGTTTCATTTAAATCCTGTGCTCAAACCACCTAAAAGACGTGTTTTTACTTACACTTCCGATGCTACTATTTGCTATAGCTACGTTTTTTTTAAGTTGTCTTAAAAAGGTAGCATAATTTTTACATTTTATTTTTTTATATTTAATCTGTTGGCATGTTCTTTAACCTTCTTTTTTTCACTGTGTATTTATTAAATTACTGTATGATGTCATTTAAGCCCTAATCAATCGTATGCATCATTGTTGGGGGAAAAAAAAAATAGATTAAACATACTCTTACATGTCAAAGATAACCGTGCTCTGCCTCTGGGTCTCAAAGTAAATCTAATGTACCAGGGCCTTGAATCTGCAATATTTCTAACAACTGGCAGGGGGCGTCTGGTTACGTAGAGAATGCCTTTTTCTTTGGTAACACTTTTCTGTCAACTGTGTGGTCTCAATCGTTGGTTCTTTTGAACGGCACAGAAGGATGCTCACTTTGTAATCTACGGTCCTATATAGTGGAAATGGAAACTAAAACTGTACATGAATAAGGGCTTAGCTGCCTTTGATTGACATTCCCCATAAAAACTTGTCAATCTAGATAGGTGCACTGCAATGCCTATCCACCATAGACTGTATCAAATATGGATGAAGTGCCAGTGACGTCATGCACTGGTTTCTGAAGCGCAGTTTAAGAGCCTAACGATGGCAGCCGCCATATTGGAAATGCTGTCTCAACCTAAGTGTCGGTCAACAGGGAAAGAGGTGTAGCTGAGGCAGGCCTTAAGCCTCCTGGCAATCAGATACATCCGGCCTGCTTGCAGTCAGATCAGTCATGCCCTTAATTATGCATAACTCTTAATTTTTCAGAAAGTCAAAACAAATGAGTTATAAAACATTTCACAACCTGTACAGCGTGTGCCGATAAAGACATGAACTATTTGGACCGTAATCTGTTTTGTAGGCTGTTGGGTGTTAATGGAACTTCCGGGGCATTAGGTGCCACAGGCTCAAGTGTATTCTCAAGAAACTGCAGTTTTTTTTTTCACCTCAAAATTTGCTTCATTTTCCAACACTAGAGGTTGCTGCTTATTATTCACCATCTTGTCCAAATTGGGTCACATGTGGCTCACTTGAATCAAGATGGTTAGCACAAAAATGCAAGCTCAATGCCCAAAAACACTTGTCCTTTAACAAATAGGTGACATAGTGGTTATGGTTATGCTTTTTTAATAACAGTCTATGAGGATAACACATGTTGATGTTAAGCTTCTCCTTATCGGGAATGTAGATTTTCTAAAGACATTGCTCTTTTTTTTTTTTACATAAACTGTGTTATGAACTCAAAGTATTCTGGTGAAGGTCCGTTGTGCTGTTTTAAAGAGGTCTGTTGCATTGAGCTAGCTATTGGCACATATTCCATTAATATCTGTGCAGCCTTTTAAGCTAATTGTTTTGTATGTTTAACACCACAATACATTGATTAGAAATCTGACTTGTGTTTTGGAATGGAGGGGGGTCATCCAATGATGCCGACCTATAACACCTCTCCATTTCCTGTGTCACAACAGATCCAAAGTATTGACCCGATGATCGTTTCAGTACACAATGTGTTTGAAAACTCCTCTCCGAGTTTTGGGTACTCTTGGAATGTAAGGATGGTGTGCATACAAAGTGAAAAATAAACCATTTCACTGCTTTTCAAAAGGAATGTTATGCATCCCTGAGAGTTATGCAGGATATCACACATGGACACCTTGATCAAGTCATCCAGTCATGTGTGATAATCCAACACTGCTATGAAATTTGAGATGATGGAAAGGAAGCTGTTTTGCAAGAGGGCTTCCTTGCATGTTGTTAATCATTTCTGTACGCATTGAACGTTTTGAACATTTTTCATTTAGTTTTTGTTTTGCTTGTTTGAGAATAAGTGATGACCCAATGGTGCTCTTAAAAATATACCGGTAATCTAATGACAAGTCATGTTTAAGGGCCTCTCGTTTCATTTTGGTGACTTGCAGACACACATTATAGTCTTGACTGAGCGCTATAGAAACTTAGTATTGCACTTACATTCAATTGGCAAAGTAATAAAATATAATAGTAATAAAAACTAAGAGGTTTTTTTACTTAAAATTTGGTGTTTTCCAGTTTGCTAAAAACCGTCTGAAAACTTTTTTACAAAGTCAACTTGTGAATTTTTACTGCCTTACCACACCAGCATGAAACAAGAGGCCTTAATAACCAATATTTTAAGATTCATCCAACTGACTGAAGCTTTTTTTGATGCAGAAATACAAAAATAAGAGTTTACATTAACCCAAAACTTTACAATATAAACTAATGGGTTTCCCAAACACAAAGACACAGAAGTTCTTTCTGCATATATGTTTTGCTCATCTTCCTTCTTATTTTTTATATCTGCTGAAGCTAATTCTTTTATTGGATATGTGGTTTATTTTTACACTTTTCCTCATTATCTTTTCTCAATCCATCCAGCTTGATTGAAACAACTGTCTTGATCTCTGTTGGAACTCGATACAGTTACTGATGTTTATTTATTGCTAGTTAAAAAAAAAGTGTGATTGCACATAGTAAACATTTTGTTTTATGTTTGGCGATTTTAAATTCCAGGTTACAGGACGTGAGAGTTTCAAAACAGAAAGACCATCGAGGCCTGTGAAAATAGCAGAAAGTGATGCAGATGTAAGTGAATCATTCTGTTCTCAGGATAGAAAGACACAGTCTGTAAGCATCTCTTTCTTTTCTTTAAGATCTCTGACTTCTTACAATCCACTACAAAAAAAGCAGTCTGACTTTAGTGTGTGTGTGTGTGTGTGTGTGTGTGTGTGTGTGTGTGTGTGTGTGTGTGTGTGTGTGTGTGTGTGTGTGTGTGTGTGTGTGTGTGTGTGTGTGTGTGTGTGTGTGTGTGTGTGTGTGTGTGTGTGTGTGTGGGTGTGTGTGTGTGTGTGTGTGTGTGTGTGTGTGTGTGTGTGTGTGTGTGTGTGTGTGTGTGTGTGTGTGTGTGTTCTTAAGTTGTGGTAAACAGAGGTTGCAGAGGGAAGGGAACGTATGTACATTGCAACACTTAGGGGACACCCATCTGCTCTGCAAAGTGAGGGCCTGAGTGTAGCTCTTATTTTCCTCCTTGCAATTTAAAGGGAAAAATACATGTAATGGGAGTTTTAGATGATGAGCTGTTAAATTTTTCAGTTTGATTTGCCTGATAGTGTTTTTCTCACTCTTTGTTTTCTGCTGAATAGAGGTAAATAGGATGGATGTCCTGGCTTTTCATCATTTGCATTGTTCCCCTTTAACAATTTATAAGAAATTGCCAGTAAATTTGTCTGAACAATGAATATTTCATGCAATTAAAAATAACAATATATGGCAGCAAAATAAAAAACAACTTAATAATTAATTGAACAGAATGATAAATAGATCTGAGAAAAAAAGACTGTGTGTGAGAAAGACTGTGAACTAGGCAATCTCATGTTGTTTTCATAAACACATAACCCATTTGTGGGAAAACAAATCTGTCACTCTCAATCAACACGCTTTTCTCCAAAAAGTGAATGTGAAAATATGGATTTTTGATTATGATTACTCATAATGGGCATTACCAGATCTCTCCCCCAAACTAGACAGTATAGAGGCTTTTGATATTTCTCACTGTGCTGATGAGAGGAAAATCCTCGGGGCATTGCACATAGACGAGCCTTATTGACATATTTACAGACAGCAAAGACAACAGTAGACGATCAATTCATCTTTTCTGGCTGCTTGTTGTGGATGCAGTTGAACAAAGAAAAGTATTGCGCAAAACACTAGATACAGTCTATCATAAACCCAGTCAATATTTGATCCCTTTTCTGTTATGTTATTCTAATATGTCGACACTCTGTGGAAATGTGGAGCTAGTAAGATGGCGAGGAGAGGGTATGCAATCTTTTATGTCGACATGTTTCTTCTTCTTTAGGTGAAATTAAGTCGACTTTGTGAACAAGACAAGATTCTACAGGAGCTGGAGGCCAGAATACGCACTTTAAAAGAAGACAAGGTTTTTGTTTTTAACATATATATAACTTAGATCTTTTTATTGACATATACAGCATTCATTTGTTTGTGGGTGTTAAACTGTAAATGCTTCTTGTGTTATGAACGTCTTCCTGTAAAGCACTTTAAATTGCTTTATGTATGAGTGGTTCCCCATAAATAAACTTGCCTACCCTTTTATGTCCCTATGTAGGACAAGCTGGAGTCTGTGCTGGATATTTCCCACCAGCAGATGGAGCAATACAGAGCTCAGCCGGCACATGCCGAGAAGATTGCCTATCAGCAGAAATTATTGCAGGAGGATGTGGTGCACATCAGGGCTGAAATATCCCAAGTTTCTACAGTAAGACACAACAGCTCCTTTTACTTCTTTGTTAAAGTCACTATCCACAGTTGTGTATGCTACAACTTGTGTTATGTTTCGGTTAAAAACATCTCTATTTTTAGATGTTCACTTTCAATGTTTTTTTTAACTGGTACACTGTTTCAGGTTGACAGTTAGTATCAAAATGAGTGTTCAGGGATAAACCCGAAGGCTACAAAGAAACCAAAAGCACATCTCTTCACCAGTCAATGTTTGTTGATATTTAAAATAATGTAATCAAATGAGAAAATTTGAGTTTCAAAAGAACATTTGACAAATAAACCACAAGATGATGCAACAGTAAACAACGGCTCTCAGTATCAAAGACATTCCCAATCACAGTGGTTGCATTCAGACACTTTTTGAATCCCTTAACTAGGTTTTATTGGACTGTCTGAAGAATGGCAACAACAGATTTGTGTTTCTAAACACTCGACTACCAAGTGATCAAGCATAATCAGATAATTATAAATCGATACACATGCTCTCTACTTCTCCCTCCTGCATCTCCCTGCACATGGGCTTACTGTATGTGTAAAATGTGTCTCTACTTGTACATGGCAACATCTGAGTGTGTACTGTGTTGTTTTGCAGGAGATGGAAAACGCATGGAACGATTACAGCCGGCTGGAGAGAGATGTGGACTGGTTGAAGTCAGCACTGCAGGGACGGATGACCCGCAGTGATCTCTGTCAGGTCTGTGGCTCAGTGACTTCCGCTCACTTTCAGAGATGAGTGTGTTTAATACTTTTTAACTGACTACATTTAAACTGTACATACAGTCAAGAACAGAATTCTATGATGTTTGCTTCTCATGTTAGCCTGAAATTAAAAGCTATATTTTGGCCAAATTGATCTCTTTTAATTAGTCATATACTGTCTGGCTTTGCTTGTCATTTTACAGTGTAAAGAAGTGTGCCTTTATGTTTGTCTGTGTGTGTGTGTGTGTGCTTCTGTATGTGCAGCAAGAGAAAATCCAGATCAGAAAAGAGCTGTGGAGGATCGAGGATGTGATTGCAGGTCTCAGTACCAGTAAAGCCAACTACAAAGTCACTGTCTCCTCTGTTACCAACCCAGGTTAGTTGCGTGCAACCTGCAGTTTTCATAAGTACAACAAATATAGCTTTCACTACAAAGGCATTACACGCCACGTCCTCACGCTACTATAACCATTAAAGCTCTTAATCACAAACACACTACTAATGCCTTGAACATTTCACATGGGAAACAAAGCGCCGTCTTACAGCGTGGTTGTGTATTCATTTTACATGTGCATATACACCATATTCCCCAGAGAGGAAATTTGTGCCTTCAGTTTCGGCATCATCAGTGCCTTCTGTGTCTGGGAGCCCGTCTGCTATGGAGATGAGATTGTCGCAGCACAGCCCCCACCTCAGCCCCAGTATCCACACCCCCACCGTGTTCTCCAGCCCCAGCCAGCAGCCCTTACAACACTCTGCAACTATCACAAGTGGGCTTAACTGGGTGAGTGACCCCTGTAATAAAAGTAATATTCTGCTGGTTCTTACTGAATGAAGGTCATCTTGCTATTGAAAAACATGCGTATAAGCATCCCAGAAGCTTATCTGACATTGATTGGTGTTAAATGTCCCACGATGCCCGAGAGAATTAAGTCTTCTTTTCTCTTTTGGGAATTTTTCTCCATTTACCCTCCCCCCAAATTAATTGATAAATTTAGATGAAATCATATGTCTTTCAAACTTTCGTCTATTTTTAAGTTATTTGTTAAGTTCCAGTTTTCAAATTGTGAGAATTAACCGGCACAAAGATATTGCATTTCCAAGGACGTATAACAATGAGAAAAATGGGAATCATCACATTTTTTAAATAATTAAATTTTTTATGTTAACATTCAGAGTCAAACACAGAAACTCTGGAGGCCCAAAGGGAACTTTTAACAAAGATAAATGAGGTGAAATCTAGAGAATGAGGTGTAGATGTCTGTTTGTCACTTTGCATTTTAATCACTAGTTAACAGATGTTCTATGTGCAGGGTGAGGATGATGTGCCTCCCAGACCTCCTCTACCTCAGCTCTACAGTCCAGATGAGAATCCCCCCGCTGTGCCCCCCCTGCCGCGAGAGACAACGGTCATCAGACACACCTCCGTACGCGGCCTCAAACGACAGTCGGATGAACGCAAAAGGGACAGAGAGGTTGGCCAGTACACTAATGGAGACAGTAAGGTACAGTACATGCGGTGTCTGTTTGTGTTTGCTGCTTGAATGTCTACATTTCTTTGCCTGTTGCTTATGTTTGTCCATGTGACTCAGGTGGAACTTAGACCTTTCCTGAGCGATCCAGAGCTTATGGGTGCTGGAGACGGCTCCAGCCACATCAGTGTAGTAACATCATCTGGACCTGAGGGTTACCAGACATTACCCAGCAGAGGTAAACTGACAATAGAGACAGTAAATCATTTTGATTTGGCTGTAACATATTTATTAAGTCAGTAAGTAGTAGTAGAAGTAACCTTGAATCTACCAGAAGGTTCTTTCTTTATTTCAGAATAAAAGGTTTTGAATTCAGATAGCAAGTAAATTACTCTTAGCTTAAGACAGAACACAAATTTAAAATAAAAGCCTAAAAAATTACATTTTTAATGCAAAATAATTGTCATTTCATACATGGGATTAAAAATGTGATTAATCCTGACTGATGGAAAAAAAGTGTCCTTTTGCAGTTCTTTTATGAATGTGTGTTGGCTTCCCCTCAGGAGTGGCTGGTTCCTCACTAAGACTAAATCAGTCTTCAAGCATCTCTTCATACGTGACCCTCCGAAGATCGGCCTCAGCTGTCGGCGTAAAGGTGAGACTCATATTAACGAAGACTCTGATAGTAAAGTTAGATCAAAAGTCAGAACTCACCAGTGTTTAGTTCAAGTTGGTGTTAGTGATTTTAATGTGCTAGAAGTGCTCACAGGTAGAGAGTCAGTGAGGGATTTTGTTTCATGGTTGGAATTTATAATTTGTATAAATTTTATTACTGCATTGCCAGAATATGTTGATATATTATTATTACATTATTATTATTATTATTATTATTATTATTATTAATAATAATAATAATAATAATAATAATTGTTAATAAAAAAACATGGCTAAAATGTTGATGTACTGAGTCAATCTATTTTTTACTTTCTCACTAGAAATGATTTCCTTATTTACAAATCTTTCATCTTCTGACTTATTTTGATGTGAGAACTATAAATGTTCTCCAATTGTAGAGTCAAGAATTAAAATGATAATTATTATAACCTATAACCGTCTATGATATTTCTTTTAATAAAGACATGAGGAATGCTCAGGTAGAACAAAATTGGGATTTTTAACTCTTAGATGTTTCTTTAATTAAAAAAAACAAAACAGATTTGTTTCCCCTTTCCATCCCTCTCCCCCTCTGACTGTGCTTTCACCTTATATCAGAGATCTATTTTGATTTTCCTCCCCATCTTTGCCTTTTGCTGCACCTTTTGCTCGTGTTATCAACTCTCTTTCCTCCCACTCCTCTCAGGAGAGACCAAAAAGTGCCTTGGAGCGTCTGTACTCTGAGGACCCAGCGCAGCAGCAGCAGAGGGGGAAGATGAGCGCTGATGAGCAACTGGAGAGGATGAAGAGGCACCAGAAGGCTCTTGTCCGCCAGCGCAAACGCACCCTGAGTCACGGAGACCGACACGCCTCTCCTTCTTCGCCACGCCCCTCCTCCTCATCCTCACGCCCGCTTTCAGCAGACATCGGATCAGTATGTCACTAGAACGATATTAGACCTTACCCTTTCATGCATGACGACAACGAAACCAAGAGTGGCGTTCTTCAGTAGTCATGCATGCCTTTAGTCTGTCTTTTCTCTACAGCAGTTGTTAGGACTAAATGAGTGCAGTGTGGTTATTCACCGTGTGCCTCTAACTGTGTGTATTTCATGCTTGATGTTTAAGGACTTGAGTCGGCCTTTTCCACTGCAGACATTTGACTTGTCAAAGCATGAAAGCACAATTGTTAAACTGCATCAGGAAATTAGCCACCATTCTTTTTATTTTTATTCCTGTGCTTCTTTCTCCTGTCACATGTCAAAATGTTTTCTCTGAAAAAGGCTTTTCATAGATAAGTGGATAACTGTCCCTGCTCTTCACATAGCACTTAACTTCAGCACAAAACAGTACTTACCGTATGTAATTGTCAAAAAAAGTTTTATTCTGAAGTGGGAAAGATTAAAATTACTTTGAATATGGATAACTTCTTTGCATTTCATTTTGACAAAACCTGTCCTTTCTACCAATCTTATAACACATATAACCTCAGACACGGGCCTTTAAGCCTTTGACAGCTAATATTCACTCATGTTCAGGAGTTTTCATTATCCCCTCTTGAAGACACTAACACTTCTTGGTATATTCATTCTCATCCATCCTAACTGGTCTCTTCATTTCATGGCTGTGGTTGCTATCACTGTCAGAATATTTCCAACATACTGGCATGCTGTGTTCTACTCTACACCACTGTGTGTGCTCTGTGAATGTATCTGTTCATATGTGTTTTCTCTCCTGATTTAGATATTAATGCCTGCTCTTCTTTATTTAAGGCCATTCAGTTGGTTACAGTATGTGTGTGTGTGT